CACCTCCCAAGTACCCTCATGGCAACGAGCATGGGATCGGGGGGTCCCCAGGTAAAGTTTTTTCGTTCAGTAAGGCAATGTTTCTGGATTTCCAGAATGGTCAGTGGTCAAAACAAACAAATGTACCAGACATCAAAGGTTACACAGCATTATGGTAAAGTATTGTGACAAAAACGGTAAGTGGACAGATGAAGGGGGTGAAGAAAAGAAGGATAAGGAAGGAGGGAGAAGAAAAGAAGAAGAAATTAATTAAAGCAAGGAGTGATCCCCTACATTGGGCTTCAGTCTCTGCCTCCTAAGCCCCACATGGCAACAACGAGCAAGTGATTGTGGGTGAAGTGAAGCTGCCCTTATATTTTTTTCAACAAAGAGATTTTCAGTGAATTACATTGGAGAAATAATAATCATTGTTACACTGGTAAATGCCTGAATGGTGAAGATCAGCTTGTACAGCAACTTCTTAGATTTTTAATAAATATGTATAAAATTCATCTTTGTACTTTGTATCTGGCTTTTAAGATTTCAGTTTTTCTTTCAGATTTCTACACATGGATTTTAGTACTAATAACAAGGTTCAAAACTACAGTTTATGCTTTAGTTATGAATAAACGAAAAAGGAAATATGCTATCATTGTGCGCCACACAAATTTTGCTTTTGTACATTTCATGCCAGTTTTGTTTTACCAAGTTTTACCATTTCTTTTTCAAATTAACCCTCTTGCAAACATGATGTGAATATCTACAAAGCTTATAAAGGATTTAGTGGAGACACAAGATGCCTAAATTGCAATGATGCACTTAAATAAAGTCACTAATGAGCCAATTAGAAGTACTGCCTGTCTCACCCATTTAACCTTGATTTATGAAAATGTTTTACATTATCTTATTTTGCTGTTACTAATGTTTATAACATTATAGTAATTAAAATGTCTATAATAAAAAATAAAAAAAACATCAATATGCATAGCTTTAGTAAAAAAATAAATAAAATATATGAATAAAAATAGTTTTCTTACCAATTCAAGGAAAGGTGAAAATAGGTGAGGTCACAAGGTCTACTAACTGATTCCTTTGTGGCTTGGCAAAATTACTAAAGATTATTTACACCATATCTAAAAATGTATAGACATTAAAAATATGAACTACAAGCTTTGTTGATGTTTTGTAAAATGTGCAGAGACACTTCACCTACACACCCACCTACCCACACACAGCATTTTCCCTGCAGCTCTGGGTTAAAAAATCCAAACTGGTAATAAGGAAAATATCATTCTATCTTGATTACTCGGCTTTTGAATTATTGCTACATGAAAACGTACCACCATATATCTATTTCACGTATTTTTTTGGTTTTGATAATGTCTTTATAAATACATAAAATAATGAGCAAGTAGGTAAAATTCTGAGATTTATTAAATAATATCATATAAAAAATCTTCTCTTTTCTGGTTTGAATTCACTAGTTTATAAAACATGATCTTAATTACACTAAGTTTTACATACAAGTGCTTGCTTATGTGCACATAAACACAAGGTAGACAGGGAACATTCTGGAAGAGTAAATATTACTACCTCTGGTATTTTTTATCCGTATATATCAGTGTATTTAAGGATATTAAAAAGCTGCTTTATATGGCTTGGCATAATTACTAAAGATTATTTACACCATATCTAAAAATATATATACATTACAAACATGAATTACAAATTTGTTGATGTTTAAATAAGAAGGCTATTTGTAAAATCAATCCAAAAACTGCTCTACATATGCACAAATTTATTAATTTTTATCTATAGACAACATCTTACCAACAAATATCATGAACATTGTTTCATTGATAACCTAGAAGCATATTGAAATACACTGGGTACTTAAAGCTGTCCAAAAAAAGTAATATGTTCTGTGAAGGACCCTTATATACATGGGTAGACCATGGTAACAAACTAGCTAATTGTCCAGGTGGCTGTGGTTTAAGTTCCCCTGGTTGGAGAAAAACTTTTCTTGTTGAAAATGGCATGAAACTAGATAATATAACAATGAACTGATTTTCAAGTTCACTATAATAAATACGAAAAGGATATTGCTTTGAAAGTTGAACAATAGCTAAACATATGACTGTTGAAAAAGTAATGAAACAGCCAGCTTCTAGGGGAGCTGCTATAATTTCATCAATCAAATTCAAAGTTGGAATTCCCAGTTTATCTCCTGTAAAACACACACCAACTGCAGCACCGGACAGATGCACTGAACTTAATGCTAAATGAATATACCACTGTGAATTACCACTATAGACTAGATCATAGTGTGTATCTACATTATCTGCCTTTTGCTGGTCCTCTAAGGTTTTTTTTTTACGAAAGTAAGAAAAGAAGGACCTTGTTTGCTGATTTACATAAGAGCCTTGCCATCTGTTACCTGCAACTGACTGGTTCTTACAATTAACATAAAGTCCACATGATCTGATGCTGTGAAACCCTTGGCTCTTGATATCAGAACCAAATGATGTCTTTGATATGAGATGAAAAATGCTGTTTATTTGTTGTGGATGGCTTTGGGATCCCACTTTCAAAATCTTGCGGTTCAGTGCTGGTAAACCTCTCATCTTCAAAATGTTCATTATGGGCCTGTAAAGTAAAGATTAATTAAATTAATTAAATTTTCTAAGTAATAAATATATCACCCCCCCCATATATATATATATATATATATATATATATATATATATATATATATATATATATATATATATATATATATATATATATATATACAACCCAATTAGTGTTGGCATACCGAAATGAAAAAAATGGGTTAAGACTATTACATATTCAAGAAATTTGCATACCAAGATTCAACATTCATATTATATCCTGTCAATAATATTCTTTATTTCTTATTCAATCTCATATTGTCACTAGAATATGAATATCATCATTATTTAAAAATTCATAAAACAGATCTTGGTGCTAAGATTACTTTAGAACAGTACTAAGTACTACTCTTAGAAGAACAAGAAAGTCAATATTTTTAAATAGTTTAATGATACAGTAACTGGGAAAAGAATAAAATGAGTATGGTATTTTTTTTTTATTATGCAAGGGAAGATGAAATACATGACATTATATAATAATCTTCAAGAGATCATATCATATTCCTATATAATATTGTAATTGAATAATCTACTGGCCTTGTGGAAATGCTTATTTTCAAGCAATCATTTATTACAGTAACTAGATAGATGTATAGTATATGAGGAATACAAATGTTAAATGAATTGGTGAGGGTCAATTACTGACGGCATTTACTTGGTTTGTCATCAGGTTTATGTAAAAAAACTACTGATGCACACTAATTAAAATGCATGCATGGTATATAAAAAAAACAATTATTCAGATTTTGGTGGTGATCTTGACATAGAACAAAATCAAAGGTATATTCACAATAACAGGACCAGGATTACTGAGTTACTACTTGAAATACTTCAGTGGGTTACATTTCACTTTATTAGCACTTTTTCTGTTAATGTAAATAGGATATGCCATTGGAATCACATGATAAACACAAAGAAACCCTTAAACAAAGAACCAAACAAACTGACACACAAACAAATATGCACATAGGGACACAGACATGTACTATCAATAAAATAAACTGAAAATAAAAACAATAATTAACCCATTCGCGCCGGGCGTCACGTATACGTGACAGGCCCACTGCGAGTTTACTTGTTTAATTGTTTTCACACATAGATGGCTACACTTGTACTTGTACTGCCTGTCTCACGCATTTACCCTTTTCTTTAATTTACAAAATTATTTTGCGCTATCTTATTTTGCTGTTACTAATGTTTATAACATTATAGTAATTATAATGTTTATATAAAAATAACCATCGATATTCATAAAAATACATTTTCCCGCCAATTAAAGTAAAGGTGAAATCAGGTAAGGCAGAGACATCTAGTGTATAGAAATTTCACAAAAAAATATAAAAAATGAGCACAGCATTTTCCTCTTTTTTTGTTCATTTTTACCAGGGTGTGAATGGGTTAAGAAGTTTTTCAACATATGCATGTTTTGGAAATCTAGAAATTTGCACCATGTCTCCTTATCAACTTATATCAAATGACCTCTCTGGTAGTTCATTGTCATATATAGGGCCAATCCAAGCTCTATGGATGCCACACTTGGGCTAAATGGGAGACTGTATGCCTTCCTCAATAGATAGAACAAGTTTTTGAGTGGATTGTCCAGATGGTTTTAATATGTGGAGGCTAATTAAACTGATGACAATGATAGTCATTATAATGGTATTGTGTCAAGTACTTGGCCTGGCCTCCACCCCTATCGGTACTCAGGCAAAAGACTCACAAAATTCCATCACGTGTGGTCTGCCAAGATTGAGCTCGAACACTTTCCTGGCAATTTGTTAAGTAATAATAACCTAGGTAACATTTTATCTTGCCAAAAATAAATGTGGTTGGAGCTTTGCTTACGCTTGTCTGGAGTGCTGTTAGTGAAGAGCTCACAGTTACTGATTGATGATGATGAACCTCTGTTATGGTGGTATGGGCTGAAACTCTGATGCACTTCCCTGGAGGGTTATTGTGAGAAGCCTCCTAGAAATCACAAATGAGGATTAGTGTGATTAATTGTTGTTATTTCTAAACTTTTCATGTTTAACTAAGCAATCTCCTTGGTATATTCCATGTCCTTCCCTGGACCCTTACCCAAAATTAATGCTAAAGTGGACTTCTCAAACTAAATCTATTATTTCTGAACTGTACACACGAATGGTCTCCCGGTTGAGCTGGGAGGAATGTATGTTTTTTCCCTCAAATAGCTATTGTCAACAAGTAATAACCTCTATAAGTGCGGAATCCTGAATCCGTGAACTGCATATACTAATAATGACAACAATCTAATACATATTGAAGGGCAAATATATAACAATTCAATACTGCCGGCCACACGTCCCCACAGTATTACTATTACAAGTA